CTAGGCTGATCCAGCTTCTAGATTCCAGTATCCTCCTACTCAGTCCCAAATAACTGGACTAAGGCATACACTACTGTTCCATATTGTTGTTTTTCTGTTGTCTTCTAACATGCATGAATAAGCCAGGCATGGTGGAGCATGCCTGTATTCCCAGCACTCAGGAGGCTGAGGCTGGAGGATTGCCATGCATTTGAGGCCAGCCTGGGCTACCAAGTGAGTTCAAGGCATGGCTGAACTACATAGCAAGACCCTGCTTCAAAAAACAAACAAACAGAATATATGTATAAACAAAATTTGTTATTCCATGTTGTTCCTTTTGAATTTATTATCCTAGCTATTCTTTTGCTAATTTAGTTAAATTTACCTTCTGAAAAAGGAACTAAAGTTCTTTATGATACTGTAATTATACTAGCCTTAGTGCCAGTGATATTCAACTAAAGACAAGTGTAGTGTGTGCTCTTGAAAAGAAGGGCTGTCTTTGGCTTGTTCTTGCCTGTGTATTCAAAGTCTAACACATTAAAATTTTTATTTCATACCCCAACACATGGGGATGCATGCCTGTAATCGCAGCACTGTAGGTCGCTGAGGCGGGAGGATCACAAATTGGAGCCCAGCCTAGGCAGGAGGATCACAAGTTGGAGCTAGCCTGTCTCAAAATGAAAAATTAAAACAGGACTAGGGATGTAGCTCAATGCCAAAGTCCTGCGTTCTGTCCCTAGTCATGAAGAAAAGCATTACAAATTCTCAGAGTTGGGCTAGGGATTTAGCTCAATGGTTCAAGTGCTTGTCTGGTAAGTGCAAGGTTATGAGTTTGATCCCCGGTACCAAAAAAAAAAAAAAAAAAAAAATTTAAAAAAGCCCCAAATTCTCAAAGTTACTAATTTGAGTCTGCGGAGGCAGGCTTTTTGCCTCAGCAGAACAAAACATTGTATAATTTGCATAGTGTACCAGAGATAGAATTCCCCTTGATGTCTTTTCTAGTGTTTAACCATACATGTAACTTCCTTATGCCAATTCCAAATCTCTCATTTAAAAATTATTCCATATCTGACTTCCTATTTATAGAACCCTCATTAAATTGTTTTTAAATTTTGACCATTATTAAATCTCCCATCTTCAGTAACTATTGATTTATTGGTCTCATTATTTGTGTTTGAGAAATTTTTGGATTGAAGCATGAAACCAGTTATGCCTGTTGGTAGACTTTAAGGGTATTTCCCTTCTGATGTGAATCTTTTATGAGTAAATAAATGTGTTTCTGGCTATGCTTGTCTACCTGTAAAAGTTTATGAAAAGGCACTGAATCTCTTATTTCCTTAGAGAAGAGAAGGAAGGCTTATGACGCTGAGCTAAAACCCCAGCCCCTCTGGCTGATTTTTGAAAGTGAATTAGGGAAACTCAGAAAATATGAGGGAAAACAGAGCCAGTCTTGAGGAAAGGGCTGGAAGAAGTGAATCTGGGCAGTCATTCACAGACTCAACCCAGTAAGAACACTGCTACTACTGCCACTCCCCAGGTGCTGACACCAGATCCCAATATAAGATGTGGTACATCTGATTGGATAGCCCAGGCTACACTTGCACACTCTGCCTGTAAGGGAGCATCAGAGAGAAAACTTTAGTTGCCACAGTTTTCATTTCATAGTGGGAAGAAGTCCGCCTCACACCAGACTTAGATGGGAATTCCTGAAGTACTGAAAAGAGACTGAGCAGCCAGAAAACTCAAAAAATCGCTACATCTTCTTTAACCTCAGTCACTTTCACATTAACCACTTTTATTGTCATGCTAGCATTTTCACTGTTGCATATTTTCCTATTTTATTTGCATTAGTGTTTCTTGTCTGTCCCCTTAAGCTAGTATTTAAGTACTAGGAGAGCAAGGACTTGTGTCTGTTTTGCTTATAACTGTATCTGGTGGCCTAGAACAGTGCCTAGGATATAATAGAAGCTTCTGTTCATTTGTTGAATGAATTAATATAAACCACTTACCACAATGACACAGTAAATGCATGCTTGGCAACTTACTATTTCTTAGCAGTTTATTTTTTGTTTTTTTAATTTGGTGGTCCTGATGGTACTGGAAATCAAAGTCAGGGCCTTGAGTATACTAGCCAAGTGCTCATCCACAAAACTGTATCTCCAGCCATAGAAAACTTTTGCTTATATTATTTTGTTTAATCTCCATGAGAGTCCTCTAAAGAAAATGGATTGGAGATAAGGAATAAGTCATTTTTTGGTGAAGCATACATGGTCCCTTTGTTATTTTGTTCTTGTGCCTGTGTGAGACAAAGGGACTTTAGCAAGGTCACAAAATGGTATTATTCCCAGATATGCTCCCAGTTTGAGTAATATTCTCAGCCTCACCATAGGCTAGGGTTGGGGTACACAGCTGTAATCCCAGCACTCTGGAGGATGAGGCAGGAGGATCTTGAGTTCGAGACCAGCCTGGGCTACAAAGTGAGCTCAAGGCCAGCCTGAACGAGACCCTGTCTCAAAAAGACAAAAAGGAAAAGAAGAAGGAGGCTACTCAGACATTAGGTGGAGAAAGTGTAATTTCAGGAGAGCATGCTAAGAATCTGCAGGCCAGCAGATGGGAGATCCAGAAGTGGCCTCAAAAGGTCCCAATAGCTGGGATGCTTGACAGAGAAGCAGCTGGGCCCTGAGAATCACATCCGCAGCACAGAGCCCTGAAGGAGAAGAAAGAGTGTACTTTTTTGTGACTCTGGAATCAAAAGGTACAAATAACAAGAGAATTTTTTTTGAGACTGGCCTTACTATGTAATTTAGGCTGGCCTTGAACTTATTGTATAATTTAAGCTGGCCTCCTGCCTCAGCCTCTTAAGTGCTAGGATTACTGATGTGTGCCACCACACCCAGCCACAGAATTTCTTTTTTTTTTTTTTTTTTTTTTTTTTTTTTTTTTTTTCGGTTTTTTCCTTTTTATCGGTACCGGGGATCGAACTCATGACTGCCTGCTTGCAAGGCAGGTGCTTATGCCACTGAGCTAAATCCCCAGCCCCAGAATTTCTTAAAAACCTAGAAAGAGGCTGAGGATGTAGCTCCGTGGCAAAGCACTTGCCTGCCATGTGTGAAGCTTGCCCCAAAGTTTGATTCCCAGTACTGAGAGTAAAATAAAAAGAAATGTGTGGATTTTTTCCTTTGGTGTTTTGTTTCCCCCCTCTGATTAAAAATTATGCCTTCCTAGAAGTTTGAAAAGAAGGAGAAAAAATCATACTGTTACCTGTGGCAGAAAGACAGCTATTATTTTTTACACTTACATTTTAAAAGATAGCAATGATAATAGTGTTTACTGAATAAGCAATATGTTATTTTATATAAGCAATATATAGGGCCAGGGATTTAGCTTAGTGGTATAAGTGCCTGCCTGGCAAGCACAAGGTCGAGAGAGTTTGATCCCTTCTCCCAAAAAACAACATAGTATGAGCTGGATGCAGTGGCGCATGTTTGTGATCCCAGGACTTGAAGGCTGAGCCATGTAGATTGCTGCAAGTTTGAGGCTGGCCTAGGTTACATTGTGAGTTCAAGGCTAGCCTACACTACAAAGCAAGACCTTGTTTCAAAAAAAAAAAAATTCAATATGATATAAGCATTTTTCCTTAATATTTAACATTGTTAATCTCTGCAAAATATTCTATAGCTATGCATTACTTAGCCATTTCTCAGTTATTGGAAACTTGTATAGGTTTTTTATTTTTTCAGTACTGGGAATTGAACCCAGATCCTTGTGCACTAAACCTATATTCCCAGCCCTTTTTTCATTAATTGTTGTATTTTTGAGACAGGGTCTCAGTAAGTTGCTAGGTTTCTGAGGCTGAATTCAAATTTTTAGTTTTTCTGCCTCAGTCCCCAGAGTGCTGGGATTACATGTATGTACCACACTCAGCTGGTTTTAAATTTTTCACTGTTATAAAATCTGTGATGAAAATACTTAAGTCTTTCTTCCATTGTTTCTTCCTTTGTTTGGTTTGGTATCGTTTTGTTTTGTTTTCTCAGTACAAGATTTTGCTGTATATTTCAGGGTGACCTTGACCTTACTGTGTAGCTGAGACTGCCCTTGAGTTCATGGTGATTCTTCAGCCTCAGCCTCTTGAGTACTGGGATTACAGGCATGTGCTGTAACACCCAGCTTGCTCGCTAGCTCTTCTCTGTATCCTTTCTCACTCCTTCCTTATATTTGAGTTTTCTCATGCTAAATTCTCAGTAATGGGATTTTTTTTGATCTTTCTAGAGTTGTGCAACATACAAGTAGCTTCAAGAGGTTACAGGACTAAAGACTAACCTATCAGAATATTGAAGAATTTTTTTATCCTGTTGGATATTGAACATGGTCACTGTTGTTCTTTTTTTCTTTAACATTTACTAGCTTATTCTAAAGGATACTACAAAGGATGCAGATGAAGATGTGTAAGGCTAGGCATATGGTGAGAGGTGTGGAGCTTGCACGCCCTCACTGAGCATGCCGCCTCACCCTTGGGAACTTCCAAGTGTTCAGCAATCCTGAAGTTCCCTGCTTTCTAGTTCTGTTAATGTGAGTGGGCTGAGCACTCTGTGTATGATACTGGTTTTGTTTGGGGACGAGGCAAGCTGCGAGTTGAAGCATAATTAAAAGTGCAGTCAGGCTGCCACAGATGTATACTGAGCAAGAGAAACTTGACCTCTGTCAAGCTGTGTACCTTGTTCTTATTTTCAGGCTATGCTATCATATGTATTTCCAACCCTCCCATTTTCTGGTGAAATGTACATGATTCCTTCAGTGATTATTCCAGTGCTTCCTGTGGCCTTGGAGTCACTGTCCTTCCAGCCCTCTTTACCTACTCAAGCTCTTCAGCACTATGTATCAAGCAGCACTGGCCCTCCATACTATAAATCACAGGAAATATCCAGTTTACTGAGGGGTTAGTGGACTGTTTAAGGGGTAGAATCAGGGCTGAGAAACTACCCAAATCCATCTCCTGAAGCTTGATGATTTTATCTTCCCAGGTAGTTAAATGTGTATCTTGTGGACCTGCACTTGGCTGGAATGCACAAGTGTCCTGAAAATCCTTCTATAACTTTCTTCTGTTGAACCCATTAAGAAAAGATGGCAAAAGTGAACATAACTAGAGACCTCATCCGCAGACAGATCAAGGTAAGCTTCCCAGACCTCTGAATCAAAGCATGAGATCATTTCTTCCCCAGAGATTCATTTTATAATTGAAGAAACTCAAGTATAGATTCTGTGACTTGCCTAGAGTCACATAATTAGTTAATGGCGCTCCAGGACTAGAATTAAGAACTCTTGCCTTCCTGTCTTTTACCCAAGAATGTGGAATTCCTGGAGATTCCTCTGTCCAAGTGCTTGTGCCTGGGCTGCTGAGGTTAATGTCTTATGAGGTAGGGGAGCCGTCAGTATTTTGTACACATGCATAGATATCCATGTGTAGGGGATTGTGCCAAAGAATAAAGCTTTTCATGTTCCAGCTGCTGGATTGTATACTATATAATAGAACCTGGGAAGTCTTGGTCCCACGGCACTTTCGATTCTGAGGCTTTCTTATACTAAAACCTGTCCTTTGCAGTTCGTATATAGAAGATACTCTTATACCTATTAGGTAAATGGATGTTTAGGGCAGTCAGGTACAGTTTAGCAAGATAGCCTTTGTCTTCATCAGGCAAGCCTGTAGTAAAGCAGCCACAGAGTATTTATTGATTGATTGATTGGTTGTCTTTTTGAGACAGAGTTTTGCTCTGCAGTTCAGGCTGGCTTTCAACTCATTTGATAGCCCAGGCTGGCCTCGAACTCACAGAAATTCTCTACCTCAGCCTCCCAGGGGCTGGGATTACAGGCATGTATCACCATGCCAGCTATAGAGATTTAAAGGAATAGATTTGACCAAGGTTTAATGTGCTTCTGTGGTCAGAACTTCAAGATGGGGTCAGGAGCTTCATCTCACCACTGCCCTAATAAATTGCCATTAAGACTACTTCCCTGGGGGCTGGGGATTTAGCTCAGCAGCATAAGCGCCTGCCTTGCAAGCAGACAGTTGTGAGTTTGATCCCCGGTACCAATAAAAAAGAAAAATACAAAAAAAAAAAAAAAAAGACTACTTCCCTGTGCCTTAGTTTTCTGTTGTTAAACAATAATATTGTCTGTCATCCAAGACTAATCTTTTTTTTTTTTAATCGGTACCAGGGATTGAACTCACGACCATGTGCTTGCAAGGCAGGCGCTTATGCTGCTGAGCTAAATCCCCAGCCCCAACTATAGACTAATCTTGAGAATGAAATCTGAGTGACCATGCAGCAGTTCTTTGAAATGGTTAAGTGCTAAAAAATAATTAAGGAAAATTTTAGTAGTGTTCAGCATAAGCCATACTCATCACCTAGAAAGACTGAGGCTGTACTTCTACAAAAGCTGACTTCTTGGTGTACATTATTATTATATGTTTTATATATTTTTCTTGCATTTCTGAACCCTTTTAGTTTTGTCTGTTTGTGGGGTTGTTTGGGTGTTTTATTTGTTTGTTTTTTTTTTCCTTTCATTGGATTAGATGGCCCACAAAGACAGGGACTATATATAATTTGTTGTTGTTGTTGTTGTTGTTTGTACCGGGGATCGAACTCACAACCTTGCATTTGCCAAGCAGTCACTACACACTGAGCTAAACCCCTGGCCCAAGGACAGGGACTATATTTTAAGAGCACAAAATCAGTAACCCCACACAACGTAGATCCTAAAGATGATGACTGCTGTCTTTAACTATAGAATTGTTCCCTGTTTGTTAACCCAAGTTTTTCTTTCCTTTTTTTCCACTTCTTTTCGGATCCACTTACACAGCATAGTGTTTAATTCTGCTGTCTTCATTCATACTATAATTCTGACCAGGAGTAGGAAAAACTCCTGCAAGCCAATTCTTTGCTATCTTTTCTATTGTGTCCAACAATGGACTGAATGTAGAATAGATACATAGCAAAATGGGCATGGTGGCACCCACCTGTAATTCCAGGGAGGCTGGGCAGGAGAATTGCTGTGAGTTCGAGGCCATCCTGGGCTACATAGTGGGTTCAAGGCCAACCTGAACTGCATAGTGAGCCCTTGTCTCAAAAAAACCAAAAACCAAAAGATAGGTACACATCAAATCATATTGAATTGAATTAATGAAACTATGAGTTTGTTTCTGTCCCCAGGAGCGAGGTGCCCTGAGCTTTGAGCGGAGATATCATGTCACTGACCCCTTTATCCGGAGACTGGGCCTAGAAGCAGAGCTGCAGGTAAGAGATCCAGTTTGCATCCTAGATGCATGCGGCCTGCAAAGAAAAAGGGAAAGTTGAACCATATTGATTCTTATAATCTAACTCTTAGAAACCATCTTGTTTTCTTCTTTACTAGTTTGAGATTAATGGGGACATTTTTTGGGACTCCTAAATGGTAATTAAAGTACAATGGTCACCAGGTCTAGTGGTGCATGCCTGTAATCTTAGTTCTGGGATGGCTGAGGCAGGAGGATCACTGTGAATTTGAGGCCAGCCTTAACTACATAGCAAGACCATGTTTCAAAAAGCGTAAATAAATAAATATATATTCACATGTGTCAGCCACATGAACTTGTCCTTTAACTTCTAGATCCCCTTTTCTCATTGTTTTGTTTCATTTTGTTTTGTTTTTTTGAGACAAAGTCTTACTATGTAGCTCAGGCTGGTCTTGAACTCACTATGTAGCCTGGGCTGGCTTCAAACTCACAGCAGTCCTCTTGCCTCAGCCTCCTGAGTGCTGCGATTACAGGCATATGCCACCACACCTGGCTCCTCATCTTTTTAATGTCTTAGCCATATAAGGAGGAATAGATAACAAGTACTTAACACAGTGCCTAGCTTGTAAAATTTAATGGTATATTACATTCAAATATTGTATGCTATTGTTGTCATTTGCTTTATGATAGCACTGATTTAGCCTTTTTTATTTTTTAATTTAATTTTTTTGTTAGTACATGACTGTAGTACATGATTACCTCCATTTCTGGGAGTTGTTACAGGTATATAACACATCCTAATTCTTTTTACTTCCCCTTCCTCAGTTCTTCCTCCCTCCATCTCTTCCCCTTCCCTTTTCTAAAAAATCTAGGTCTCTGTTTCCTAGCACCCTTTATTTTGCTGTTTGTACTTTAGTTTCTCATACAAAGAGAAGCCATGTGACATTTAAACTTGTGTAGATACAAGTTTATTTCATATTACATTATGGTCTCAAGGTGCATCCATTTTCCGACAAAATACTCAAATTTATCCTTCCTGGCAAAGAAATACTCTGTTGTGTATATTTACTTTATCCATTCATCTACTGATGGACATGTAGGTTGCTTCTAAGATTTAGTTATTGTGAGTTGTGTGCTGTAAACATGGGTATGCGTGGATCACTGTGACATGACACCTTTAACTCTTTCCTAGAAGGAGAATAACTGGGTCAATTGAAATGTTTATTTTTAGTTTTTTGAGGAGTCACCACAACTGATTTCCAGACTGATTGTCCTAGTTTACATTTCTTTTTTTTTTTTTTAAAGCCAGTCAAATTTAGCAGTGGGGGGGGGGTGGTATACCAACTTTAGTGACACTAATGTTAATAAGTTCTGATAACCCACTGCCATTGGACTAGCCCCTAGTTTACATTTCTACCAGCAGTAGCTGAGTTCACTTTTCTCCACAGCCTTGCTAACATTTGTTAGGATTTCTTGATGATAGCCATTCTTTGTGGAGTAAGAAGGAATCTGAGTGCTGTTTTAATTTGTATTTCTCTAATGAACAGAGATGTCAAACATTTTTCATTGTGTTTATTGGCTATTTGTACTTTTGAGAAATGTTATTCATTTCAGTTCATTTTTTATTATATCTTTTATTTTGGAGACAACTAACTTTTGAGTTCTTTATATTAGTCTAGATATTAGTTCTGTGGCATAGTTAGCAAAGATGTTTCCCTATTCTGTAGGTTAGTGCTTTATTCCATTGGTTGTTTCACTGTGTAGAAGCTTTCTAATTTGATGTAATTCCACTTGTTGATTCTTGAACATTATTTCTTGTGCCATTAGAGTTCTGTTTAGAAAGTTCTTGCCTATGCTTATGTCTTCAAGAGTTTTACCTGTTTGATCTTTCAGCAGATTGTTTCTATTTTAATATTTGGGTTCACTTTTTTATTATAAGACTTTTTTTTTTAGATAGCTTCTTGCTGAATCACTAAATTGCCCATGTTAGGTCTGAATGTTCAATCTTCCTGCCTTTGTCTCTCAAAATGCTGGGATTACAGGCATGTGCCACCACACCTAGTTTATTGTTATTCATAGAAAGTTCATAAAATTTCCTAAAATGCCAGTTCCAAGATGTTGATTTGATGGCTTCTAATTTTTTTGAGCGGGGTAGGATGAGGCAAGGTCTCACTATATAACCTAGGCTGACCTTGAGCTCATGGCAATCTTCCTGCCTCAGTCTCCCAAATACTGGGATTACAGGCAGGTACCACCACACCTGGCCAGCATCTAGTTTTTTAAAACTAGCTATTTCCTTCCCTTGTTTTATTTCCCATCACCGTCATATGTAGCCCACCTTTTGGTTAACGGTAGTTGCTCATTGGCATTTCTAAGATGTGTTTACTAAGTCATGGGTAGTGATACATACCTATAATCCCAGCTACTCAAGAGGCTGAGCCAGGCTTAAGGTTTGTTTTATTTTGTTTTTTGATCTTTCTGAGACAAGGTCTTGCTGTAGGTCTGACTGGCCTTCAGCTCACTTTGTAGCCCAGGCTGGTCTCAAATTTGCAAGATCCTCCAGCGTCAGTCTCCTGAGCATGTGCCACCACGCCCAATTTAGGTTTAAATTTGGGAGTTCAAGGTCAGCCTGGGTAACACAGCAAGACCCTATCTCTTAAAGACAGACAGACAGAGGAAGGAAGGGAGGGAGAAAAGAAGGAGCACTGCCACCTATAATTCCAGCACTCTACAAAGCCTAGGCAAGAGGAATGCAAGTTGAATCCTCACATGGGCAATTTAGCAATTTAGGGAGACCCTGTCTCAAAAAAAGAAGGTAGAGAGATGTAGCTCAATGTGCAGGCTTTGAATTCAATCCTCAGCCACCCCCCAAGAAAAGAAGGAAAAAAGAAGAGATGATTGTTGGACTATGAGTGTAAAGATAGGGTAAAATAGAGAAAAGCAACATAATAAGTCTGCAAGTTTTTCTAGGTTATTTTGTTGTTGTTCATGATTGTTGGCTTGTTTGTTTTTGAGACAGAGTCTCACTACGTAGCCCAGGCAGGCTTTGAACTCCCAGCAGTTTTGCCTCCGCCTCCCAAGTGCTGGCTGTTGGAGTTTTTGTTTTATTTTTTGAGACAGGGTCTTGCTGTTGAGTCAAAAGTAGCCTCAAACTTAACAATCTTGTCTCGGCCTCCTTACTACTGGGATTACAGGTATATGCCATCATACAGAGTTTCTTGTGGGGTGTGTGTGTGTGTGTGTGTGTGTGTGTGTGTGTTTAGGTGGTAGCGGGGGGGGGGTTGAACCCTGGGCTCTCACACTGAGCTACATCACCAGCCCTTTATTAAATTTTTTTTTTTTTTTTTTTTTTTTTAAGTTTTGAAACACTAAGCTCACTAAGTTGCCTAGGCTAGGCTCAAACTTGTTATCCTATTGCCTCAGCCTTCCAGCGTGCTGGGATTTTACAGGTGTGTGCCATTATACTGAGGTCTGTTTCACTCATATCAAACATGATCCTCAGGAAAATACTTGCTTTTCTTTGCAGCTCCAGCGTAACCATCATGATTCTGAAACTTTTCATAGGCACATGTAATACTATGAGCCAAGGAGATTCAAATACTCAGTTCAAATACTAAGCTGAGGAAAATCAGTGTAGGGGCCAGGACTTTAGCTCAGCGGTGCAAGTGCCTGCCTGGCAGGCGTGAGGTCATGATTTTGATCCCAGGTACCCTGCCCCCCATGCAGTGTAGGTTTATGTATGTCTGAAAGGTGAATGTTAGGAGTTAAGTAGATTTAGGGGTAGAGGATAAGGGAGAGAAAGTTTTCTAAGCTGGGAGAATAACATCATGTGAGTGATGCAAGAAACAGTAGAAAGTACTGATTTCAAGGCTGAGTGATGTGGTGTAAGCCTGTAATTCCAGCACTCGGTAGGCTGAGGCAGGAGGATTGCTGCAAGTTTGAGGCCAGCCTAGGCTACAAGTTCAAGTCCACCCTGAATTGCATAGTGAAACCCTGTTTTAAGAAGGAAAAAAAACAGTATTCAGTTCAAAAGAACAAATAGTCAAAGAATACAAGTGCAGAATGGGAGACTGACAAAGCTGGAGATGTGTGAGGTCTGATGTTCATAGTGATAGTTGCTGTAGGCTGTGTTTAGTGACTGAGGACTTTATGCTTGGGACAACAGAGAGCCATTGAATGGCTTATAGCATAGGAACAATATGATCAAGTTCTGATTTATGAAAAATTAATCTTCACTTCAAAGTGAAGAAAAGCTTGCCACAGTTTAAACTGGGTACAGCCCAGTTTAAACCCCAGTTAGAGGACTATGACAGTGACTTATGAAGTGATGGGTGACCTGAACTAAGATGGTAGTAATTTGGCTCTAGAGAAATCAGTGGACTTGAAACATTTAAATAGGATTTTTGGTGATTAGATATAGAAAGTTAGGAAAAGAGTGACATATGAAAGTCAGGTTTCTGACTTGAGTGGCACAGTAGAAGGCAGGATCTTTTTCTGAGTTAGGGAACCTGATAAAGAAATAGCTTTGAAAGGAAAGATGCTATGGTTGGTGTTGGCTATTCTGGAGCTATTGGCTGAGGGCAGTGAGTCTTATCTGGACAGGTAGTTGAAATACTTGGATTTGAGCTCAGAATAAAGATACACGATACCAGGGATCGAACTCAGGACTGCGTGCTTGCAAAAAGCTTATGCCACTGAGCTAAATCCCCAGCCCCAGAAACCGCTACTTTTAAAAAGAGGAACCCAGAGGGATGAAAAAGAGAAAAGAGAGGATGATGTTATAAACAGAACACAGAAGGAAATTTCATTGAGAAACCCCATACTCGTCATTGCCAAAGGTCAAATAACTAAGAAGTAGCCACTGATTTATGACAAGAAAGCTCTCTATAATGGAAATTATGCCAAAAGTCATTTTTCTGGAGATGGTATAGATAGACAGTAGGTTAAGGAATTATTAGGAAGTGAAAAAACGAAAATATCAACTATAGATTAATGGAAGGCTATAGGTACATAAGGACTTGG